TTAAAATATAGAATGTTTTTTATTATAAGGGAAAGTATTGCAAAGCTACATATTCTGATCGTTGCTAATTAAATGAGGGACAATGTCAAGCATTCTTTGGATATAGCCATTGTGATTTAAAATGGCCCTTTCCTCTATTGATTTGTAATATTGTCCAAGAAGCTTCAAGAAAGACTGTCTCCCTATCTTTTTAGTTTTTCAACATTGATCAAAACACTGATGTTTTTTCTTCATCTGTGTTTCTTGCCGAATGCCAGACAATGAGAATATAATGCAGCATTAGGAGTTGCATGCAGAGTGATAAATGGGTGGCAGAGGCATTGTTCATCCTAATTTATCTAGAGATATTTTAATATAGTAGATGTAAAAAAATTTGTCAAATGGGTAGTGTTGCGCTTGCATTGTGGCTTCGATTCCCAATGCTTAATGGCATTGGAGTTTCCAAGTAGTATCGGATTGAAGCTGGCTGGATGTAGTTCCCAGTGTCCCAGGCAGTCAGCTGGTTAGTGTAGTTTCAGCACTACAAAAAGGGGTTTTTTACTTGTCACACCTTGGAATACAGCCGTCCGCACTGTGTTCCCTCAGAGTGTTATTCGAGTTCAAAATGCCTTAATATCATCCAATCATAAGTTTTTGAAAATCACTTCTAATGACAATCCTGAGGAATCAGACAGTGAGAACATACTATGTTGGACTTGTCAGCATAAGTCTTGTTCTTGTGCCTGTCTCTGTGGGTTACAGACTTCCTACAGAAGCATTCATTGCCCTGTTGTTCGTTCTGGTAACATGCAGAAGGCTTTCTTTGCTAGGCATGATCTTTTGATGTGTGAGGAGATTATTGTCTTGGAACTTCCTTGTTAAGCTTTCCTTGTTCTGCTAACTACCCTGCTCTCCAGTTTCACTATGAGTTGGTATTCTTAATGTCAGTGACTTATGTCAGGGGTGTAAAGGAACTTCAGGTTCCAGATGCTGATTTGCCTGTTTGTAAGGTTCAGATCATCTAAGGAGATGATGAATTAAATCTTTTTCCCACAAAACTTCCCCTCACTTGCTTTTCCATTGTGAAGAAGCCATCTTATTGCAAAACGGATGTTAAAATAATTATAATATATACAGAGGGATAAAAACTGTGCTCTCTACAGCTTTTTTATTATTTGATGAGCAAAATAATGATACTTTTACATAGGCTATGTATTAATTAATCCTTCAGAAATCACTGGTTTTATTGACATGATACAATAAGGATACTTGGATTTTTTTTTCTAGCACAAAAACAAGGAGTCTTTAAAAACTAACAGATTTATTTGGGCACAAGTTTTCATGGGCAATGACTCTCTTCATTAGATGTACCAAGTAGAAAGTACAGCATCAAGCATAAAACCTGTTCTGTCTCTGATGTTGTATACCAGTTTGCTGTTTCAGTGACGCACATGATGTTTCACATTTGACCAGTCTGTTTTTTGGTAGCTCATAGAAACATCCTGGTGCTTTTTAGTCTCCAAGAGCAGTAATGAATCAGCCATAATCTTGAAGAAAATATTTGAGACACTAACAGTACTTATTCTTATTCCTGGAAATGAGACTGTTATACTTTTGTGGCCATCCATCTGCCTTCCTGACCTAGATGGAGATAATCTTTTTGCAGGGCTATCTTGCTTTTTCTCCAAACAAACAAAATAAAAAAATTCCTGAAAACCAGAAATGATGGTTATTGGGGCTGCTGACCATCATTTTCCCTTGGGTGATTGCCAGCTGATTTAGATATCTTAGAATACTGACATTGTGAGAATTCCTGTAAGTTGCATGCTGTGACAATGGACTGCAGAGAGTGACTCTGGTACAGCATGCATTCTAAGCCATTCATAGTAAGGGGCTATGGTTGGGAGCAAATGTTTGTAGGGTTGGGAAGCTGCTAATGTCTTTCCAAGAATGCTGACAAGGTACATTTTGCCATCAACACAGTAAAGGGTTTGCAAAGGTGAATAGTTTTGTAATTAAAATAAAATAATGAAATAAAAATACAGGTCCATTCCATGCATGCAAGGTTTTGTGGTAGGAAACCATGCTTTGTATCTGTTATAACCCTTTTATCTTTGAGGTTATTTGTTTGTGAACTTGAGCATCAGCACAGTTTTCAATCAGCTCTGTAATTAATTTGCTTTGTAATACACAAAGAGATTTTGTATTATATTTATGGAAATATTGTAAGATGGTAATTGAAATAATTTTCTTATTATACATAGCAGTTAATTAAAGAAAGACATTAAATAGCAGTGGAGCTGCACTACCACTGTTGTCTTGTATCAGTTTAAAAAGGCAGTAATTTTTTTGACAGCCACTGATTGGAAAGTTGCTTGCAGCCTTCTGGAAGCAAGGGGTACATGCTCTGGATCAATAACTGGCAAATTTTCCATTTAAAAATACCTGAACAATGTTCCAAATAGCCACTGGCATCTTAATTTTCCATGGAAACTGAAATACTCGTATGTGGAGGACAAATCATTTTTCGGAGAATTTTTCCAGACTACTTGTTAACAGTTATTGCTGTCCCAAAAGGTTGACAGCTGACATGATTGATATTTCATTTACTTGTCATCACTGAGTAATGGAGAGGGCCACATTGCTATTTTTTTCTGAAGAAACGTAGTCTCTTGAACATTTGCTTTAGTTTATTATTCTAGAGAGTATGTAGTATTTGCCTATACTGTATGTATATGTCTTGAGGTCCTGGCATATTACTAACATTAAGGAAGCATATTTTCTTTTACAGCTTTGGTCTGCTAGAAACCATGGCTTTCTTTTATAGCCCTATAATTATTAGACACTAGCTGCTTCCCCACTCCCACCCCCTCGCTTGTTTGGGGCAAAGAGCTCAACTTGTTGTTCACTACCTCATGATATAAAACAAGTCTTCAGGGATAGTTCCCTTTCTTCCTGCAAAAATCAATTGATCATTTTAACAGAATATTTTTGTGATTAATAACTTCACTCTGTATAAGTACAACAAGATCATATGTAGCAGGATTATTTAAGAAAAGTGTGCAGTAATCATGACCCTGGTTGCCCTTCAAACATGCTTTTATATCAAACATTGATGGAGCTAAAAAGAATCCCACACACCCGTAGTTTTTTCTCCTCCTAACGCTTTATGGGGGACTGTTCTTCCTGTCTGTTCTCACATGTGAGAAATGTGGAGATAGCAAACACCTTCTCTTTCTTAGCAGGTTAGAATCGTAAAGAAACATTGAAATAGTGTCCCAGTCCTTCAAGTGGATCTGTGCATTCAGGCATTTGTGTTCTCACAGAGCTTATTGAGAACAGCTCTAAGTTTGTAATCAGTTGTAAAGAACTCTGTGCCTCAGGGGGAAGCTAGAAGACTTGAAGCTTCCAGAATTCAGTTTTGTGAATGCATGTATGCTTTTATGCAGCAAAAGCAGTAGTGGACACTAAAGCAATTTTAATGACCAGTCTTACAGTCTATGCTTACTATATTTGTATAGTTTCTCCCTTTGTGTGCTTAATTTGATGGCATTCCATAACAAGAGGAAAGAACTGTTTACAAAAGAATTAATAAATCAAACCTTATATTAATTTGCATTATGTAGGCATCAAAAAAGTTGATTGTATGTTGTCATGATTAGAACATTCGTATTTGATGCCATACAGATATACAGTATTCTCTGTTTAGGTTAAGGAGCATCAGCATAGGTAACAGCATCATATAATATTTATCTAAGAACACTATCATTCTAAAATCTTTAGACCAGAGCCTAAGGTGGTGAAAATGAGCCCCGAAATCAATAGAGCTGTTGGCTGAAGATCTGACTGACATTTTTATTTTTAAGATAATTAAGTAACAGTTGGAATATGCTTTGTGCTGTGCTTTGAATTCTCAGTGCTTCCCATGCAGAGATGCACTTTAGACAGGGCAAAAACCAATGAGGCCCATCTCCTCACCATAGCAGGATTGTTTTGGAAAGTACACGTTCTTCCTATTTTTGTTTTTCAGAGCCCCATATAATGGAGCTTTCAACACTTCTTGGGATATTTTTTTCTAAAGGCAAATAGATATTGCCAGATCTCCAGCCTAAATGTGCAATTTCCTCATTTTACCCATTCCTCAGTAACTGTTCTCATACCTTGCTTTTTGTTTTCCATCCTTCATGTTCACACCCTTCAAATATTTATAGACTGTTCTATCCACTTGTCATGGGTGTGTGTGTGTGTGTGTGTGATGTATATCTATATATTATATTGGTTATCTTTGATTGTTTTTCTCCACTACTTCCACCAGCCTTTAAAAAGTCAGGGGTTGTGATCTGCACTCACTTTAATTTGACAGTGTCTTTCTGCTAATGAAGTGCTAAATGCTGTAAACATTCTGTGGCAGGTACTATTGTACCAGAGCCCTACAGACGGGGACCATATTGCCTCTCTGATTTGTGTGGAGTGATACCTTTGGATATGTAGCCCAAAGCCTCATTTACTGTTTCCGCCTCATCATATTGGACGTTCATGGCTAATTTTTTAATTCTGTCCATCAGTCTTTTTCAGAATGACTACTTTACAGGTTTCTCCTCACCACTGACTGTTTCTATCTTGAATTATTTTTCCACAAATGTAGTGGAATCTTTCCAGGTTGAATCTCATTATGTTATTTTTTTTGTCTATTTTTAATCTCTTTTGACCATTCCCGATTTGTGTACTGCTAATATTCTCTTCATTTCATAATAATGTGAATGTCAGAAGCCTGAACCTATGATGGTCATGGTACATGGTAGTTGACCGCTCCCTTGAAGTCAATATATTACTGATTATCACTATCCTTTGTTTAATGTTCCTTCATAGTTGTTTTGTAGATTATACAATTGTATTTTGAAGGCTGATATGTGTAACAAGCAATTTCTAAACCCTAAAAAATAATGTGAATTCAACAATCGATAGCTTAATTACTACTATTCCTACGTTATTGAATAGTCTCTTCTGTAATCTCTTTGCAGTATTGTACCACTGTAATGGAGCAGCAAGTAAATGGACAGTTAATAGAACCTCTGCAGATATACCCAAGAGGTAATGCTTAACAAATTCTAACCAACAATGATGTATCAATAAGATGTTTCATCACCCATTCTGTTTTCAGAAGGTTAACAGGCACATAACATGAAGTTTACCTCTTAATTTAGAGTAAATCAGCATCATCAGGATTTTAGCAAAAACTATAGTTATTGCATATCAAAGACTAACGAGATTTGGTTTGCACAGTATATATGTATGTACACTTAAACTCACTGTTGATGTGGTTTGTTTGAGTCCAAAGCAGTTGAATAACTCAAGCTTTGGATGCTTATGCTCTTGCTCCTCTAAAGTTTTTAATCCGCATGAGGTTGTCAGGGGATATGATCTGTCAGACTGTTTTGAACCTGGAGATATGTCCATTGCACAGCGGAATTTTATTTGAGCAATTGGCAGCTGGTGACAGAATCAAAATAACGGAGTCTTATACACAGGTAATAGGGATGTTAATTGGTAACCGGTTAATCCGTAGGGGCTGGCGGACTACTCCAACCCCGCAGGGCTCGGAGCAGCCCCAGTCTGTGGCAGGCTTGGCCAGGGCTCCCCAGCTCTCCACCACAGGTTACGTACTGGCTTCCCGGAGGCTGATTGCAGAGCCACAGCAAAGCCTCTATAGGACCGGGACCTCCTGAGGTGGTTTCGTGGCATGGTGCAGAGCCTGCAGTGTTGCCTCCATGGGAGTGGAGCCAGTAGCTTTACATAAGCTTTACACTACAGAACCTGCAGCATGTGTAACCTCTAGGATTTTTAATGGTTACGTTTTTAAACTATTTTTTACATCCCTAACGGGTAATTGATTGACGAAAGTATCTCTATTAAGTACAGCATTTAGTACATGCTCAAGTGCTCTCCAGAATTCAGACAGCTTAACCACAGACTTGTGTGCTGTGTTGCTGCTAAAACAGGATTTACGATGCCCTGAACAAAATCATAGGCAACTATTTGGAATTTGGGTATGTACTTTTTTTTTTCCCCTGAGAATTCAGTTAATGGTTAAAAAGAGTCGCATATTACATAAGCCTAATTAATTCAATTCTTCTCAGTATCCAGTCTCTGCATCTGTGGTTCTTAATTGATGAAATGGATAAAGGTTTAAATTCTCCAAGTAAATCTCCCAGCAATAAATTAATTGAAATAATTAAAATCTTCCCTGTTAACTGATACTATACAAATAATCATACTATGAGTTTCCCCATTTAATATTCTAGACTTTCATTACATATAACTCTCAGAAGTTCTAATTGGGCAACTAACCAATGGGCCTTTCTAACATGTACAATTAAGGTCTCCAAAGAAGGCTGTTGTCTGTGCTGGTAGGTTAGTGAGTTGCTATGGGAAGATGCTTACAGGAGAAATATTGAGACTTTTGCATCTCAGCTTAGCCATGGCTGAAATAACAGAGGGATTCTTATGGATTCTAGTCATGGAAAAAGCCCATGCATCACTAGATTAGTTCCTTACTATTACAGTGGGCTTAAATAAGGAACAGTGTGTGTGTGACTGTGCATGTGTAATATGTAAACACACACTCACTCACTTTAATTCTGTATAGCTGCATTTGCAGTCGAGCTCATTGTAATAATCATAGAATACTAGGACTGGAAGGGACCTTGAGAGGTCATCAAGTCCAGTCCCCCGCCCTCATAATGAGGAATCTGGCTAGTATAGTATCTAGTGTGTGTATACACCCAGACTCTCATGTTCTGTACAAAAACACAGGCCTGTATAATATCTTGGGAGATTAGAGCACCCTTGAAAAATCCCCTTGTTTGGAGCGTGTGAAGGTTCAAGAGCCCCTTACTGCATAGTTTGTGAAAATAGAAAATGAGGAAATCTCACATGGCCTGAGTTTATTCTGCTTTGGCAACTGAGCCTTCGAGGGGCCGAGCCGCTCCAGAGGCTGAGCGTTGTTATCTCACTTGTGAAAGCAGAGACACAGGGGTTAAAAATCCAGCTTCCTGTTCTGTCAGTTTGCCTTTTGGACTGTTCCTTCAGTGCCTACCTTGTAGTTCCTGCCCTCCTTCTCCACTGGAGTGCCCCTTTTCTCTTCCACAGCACGACCTCCTTTTGCAGTCTTCCATAATGATCTGGATTCAGTTCTCACCTCTGGGCTAAAGACTTTCCAATCTCCATTTCCACTTGTGATCTTTCGCCCTCTGTCCAATCATGCCGTTGCCTCTCAGATGGCTTGCCACTACCTCAGTCTGAACCAGTCCACAGCTGAGCTTTGTCTCCGTCCCCCAGTCTTTCTCGGTTAACCCCTGTCTCCTCCCGGCTGCTGTGCTTGTAACTTTTCAGTCGTCTCTGACGAATTTTTCTGCTTCTCTCACATCCAAGCTCCCACGAAGTCTTGCGTCTTCCTCTGCAGTATCCAAAGAAGTGCTCTCCCATCCCCCCCCCCTTTTTTTTTTGCAACCAGCTCCGTAATCCAAGTTCTTCTTTTCCATCTGTCCAAACCACCCTTGCAAGAATGCTTTCCAGTCTCATAATTTTGGCCAGCTCTCCCTTCCTACTGCTTCTTGAATTCTCCTGTCCTCCTCCTTCCTGTATGTAATTCAAGCTTCCCTCCTTCTTTAAAAATGTTTCACAGCTGCTCTCCTTCACTCATTGCTATCCACACAAGGGTCTACACCCACTCCTTCCACACAAGACTCTTTATCTTTTCCTGACACCATTTTAATCTTTTTGAGAGAGGCTCTGCAATCATATTGCTTTTGAAAAGCCACCTGTTCCATGAAGTGGGCCAGCACTGATGTCCACGTGTCATGCAATGTTGTCTTAACTGTGCTGTGCCTGTTTCACATTATAGATGCTTGGAGTCTATCATTTATATTTAGTGTATTTTACCTATGTTGTAAAATGCTACATAAATAATAATTGCCAGATTTTTTTCAAACCCATCAAAATATATATATTTTTTGCCAAAGGGTGACTCTTTTGTTTCTTTTTCTAATAGCGCTGACAGCTACATTTTCCATTTTTCTCCCCTGACTACATGTTTTGTGTTTTAAGATACGATCACTTCTTTAGCATAAACTTGGGATAAAGGGTTTCTTTGAAGAATGCTTCAACCTTTTAAAATAGTTATATACATTCTGCTTATAGTGATTGTTCAGGAGAAAAAATATTTTATACTACCCATTCTTTAATTCTCAGTAAACAAATCACTTATTACAGTGTTTATGAACCGGACAATCTGTGTTCAAATGCTATACATTTTGTTACCAAAGCATTTTGTGACAGGCATCAGGGAAAATTATGTTTGGCATGTCTTTTATTGTTTGTTCAAAATATTAATTTCCATTTCTGAAGAAATGTAAACTAAAATGTCAAAAATGTGAACTAAAAACATAAACTTTAAAATTATCCTAAAAACGTATCCATTTCCCTCCTCCCTAATCCTTGGTGAAATAATGTTTAGCTTCTTTAAGAATATTATGGTAATTTCTAAAGCACAGAGCCTGGCCTAACTGATGTGTTTAATAACTATCATCTGTGTCCTTTTGACTAATAAATAGCTCTGTTTCCTGCTGTCAAAAAATGGAGAGAAATACATGTGCATCTGAGAGAGAGAGAAATCAAATTCATCCCTTCCCAGACAATCAATCAAAATTGACAGGCCCTTTAACGTACAATTTGTAGGGCACTGTAGTTTTAAAATGGGAACTGTCTGTAGCATGTAGCTAGAAGCCTGTGTGGTTTTAACATTTGACAATGGCACATCGACTGAATGGAAAAATCATGGAACACATTGTTTAAGAGGCTTTAAGAAAATACCTTTTTCTCAATTAATGCTTCATAAAAAGATGTCAGGATTTACATGTAAACAATGTATGTTTTTTATTAGTTAAGAGCAGGGTAGATAGACATCTATCCGGGATGGTCTAGAGGGTGCGTAGTCCTGCCGTGAGTACAGGGTACTGGACTCCATGACCTTTCAAGGTCCCTTCCAGTTCTAGTATTCTATGATTCTATTATTATATATTTAATGTATTCAGTCATCTGCTTCCTTGGTCTCCCAACTTTGTTCCCCATCCAGGTTTTCCCACATTAAAACACACAGTGGCCTGCTTGTCAATATGACTAAAAAAAAAGCTCTCTGAAATAACTTAGTTAACTGCAGAGAAAGTACAACATGTAGGAAAACAAAAGATACTGAAGGTATTTGAATTAAGAAATTAATCCAATCATTTTAGCCCAGTTATCTTGATTTTGATGTATTTTGAGCAGAAATTATAATTTATATTAGACAATGTCAGAAAGCTCTTAGCATTTATAAATGCTCAGTCCCTGCAAGTTAAAAACCCTGGCTCATAATTCCCACTCTGGGTTTTAGGAGGCACTTTTCAATCATTCCTCTCTGCTAATTTTGGCGTCACCCTCATTTCTTTTTAAAAGATTCATTTTGAGCAAATTTGTAAATGGCCCTGATGTGTTCTACAATTTAGTCAATTACTGTTTCAGCCTGCAAGCCTCCTGGGAAACGGAACATACATGGCCTGAAGGTACGAATTTCAATAATTGTTTCAGTAAAGTTAGATGGATTTGTAAGGCTGTGTTCCACTTATTGAAATGTCAAATAAAACGGCACTTTTCTGAGTTCTGACAAGCAGATTTTTTTGAATGCGGGGGAAAGATTCATTTGCTTGGTGTTGGCTGTGATATCTGAGTGTTGTACACATTTGTGTATTAAACTGAAATGCATTTTGTTTCTTCTCTTTGTTAATAAGCTTCTTAAATATTAACTATGCGGCTAGTACCAATTTTCAAAGAGATCTTTTGAAGGGAGAATACTCATATTAGCTAATTAATTTATATAACCTGTTAAACACAGCCAAGTTGCAATGAAATCTTTTCCGGACATTTGTTCAATTCATTCCTATATACTTACTAACTTGCTACTGTAATCATACATATGTTCTCAGTTCTGAACTGCAGAAGACTATTGGATAATTTGTATAAAATGATGGTTTATCTCTCAGTGCCTATTTTGAAGGGGAATAAAATGGCAGGCTTATTGTGCATATCTGTTTTTCTGTATTATTTAATTAAGGATTTTAAATGTAAGGAAATAGTATACTGAAATCCATCAATTATATAGTATGCTAACCTACATACCGACAAGACTTCAATGATGGGCATGCGTAGCAACAAGCTAATTAACCTTCATAGTGAAATGAGAAATTCATGGCAAATTACAGGTTAATTAGAATGGTGTCCTCTGAACACAAACGACTGATAGAGATTCTTTTCCTGCCTGCAGGTAAATACACGAGCAGGGTCTGCTAATAATAGCAGCTCAGCAGTCTCGGAGTCCCTTGCAAGCAATAGGTAAGAGTCAGTAGTGGATGTGGGTTTGTGTGTGTGTGTGGGGGGGGGGGATACCAGGTTATTAAAACACAATGAAATTTGAAAAGTGATTGGTGCATAGTAATTAATAGTAACAAACTTGAAATGTCAGATAACTTTATCAATATGACTACTGGGAACAAAGTGCTACAATGGGAAAGAGGAAAAATTAACCTGCCCTGTAGAACTTGTTACACACCTATTACAGGTGTTCAGTAAATCTATTTTCTACTGCTAGAACTCTGCCTGCATGGGATATTCCAGATAGCTTCATCCTTCATGTGACTTTGACATACTGTATAAGGTTGAGCCAGAAGTTCATTTATTTTAATTGTTCTAATAATCATTGTCCATCACAGGGTTTTTAGTTATTAGCAGGGGTTAGTCATTCATTGGCTATCTAATTCAAAGTGATTTTGCTGAAATATTGGTCCTGTTCAGTTTGATATTCAATTTAGTAGCCTTGCTAATGTGAGCTGGTATTTTGGAAAGAGTCTAAAGGTATTAGGCAGGCAATTCACATTCCATTTTGGTGATATTGGGAACATAATTTCCTTTAGATTTCTTTCAAAATTCTAGTTGTGAATTTAATATTGCTACTTACTGCCTGTGAATATGAGAACTGTTTAATATTGGAAAGATAATTTCTACTGCATCACAGTCAGTATCCCCTCTAAGATTTTCCATCCGTGAACCAATATTGAGGTCATGTGCACCTTGTGCATCAATATTGAGGTCGTGTTCGCTTGTTTGGATGTCTGCCACTGTGGCACCCACCAGTTACTAACAAAATTACTTACACACACACACACACACACACACACACTTTAAAATAGTTATGTAAAATTGTTATGTAAGAAAAAATACTAAAACAAGGGATAATTAACAAGGTGCATAACCCTGTACCACTCCACCCTGGAAACCACCCAGCTTGCTAGTCCCTGCCTCCAACACACACTGCGCCCCAATCAGGACCACACACAGCCAGCTGGTACCTATATTGGCCTGGGTGACTGCCTACCCCCCACACCCTGTAGTCGTGCCCAGCAATCTGCCCCCCTTATCTGCCACCAGTACATAAGCCAGGGCCATGCTACCTTTCCCCCAAACACAAACAGCCAGGACCTGGGTCTAGAGCCCACAGCCCAAGCACCACTGCCCAAAGACCTGTGCCCAGCCCCATCTCTCACCTGTCCTTCCCCTGCCATTGCCCAGAGACCTGTGCCCAACCCTGCACACCTTGCTCTCCCCCCTCCCCCCCGCAGGATTTTACCTGTGCCTGGTACCTCCCACCACCATAGACGGCTGGTGCCTTTGCCCCCAACCCAGCCGGCCTCTGGTTGTCCTTACCCTGTCTGGTACAACCCCGGTAGCTGCTTCGCTGCTCCCCCACCCAGACTCACTCGTGGCTCCTCCAGCCCCGGCTGCTGCAGCAGCCGCCTGCCACTCAGCTCTCGGCCCCTCTGGCCCAGCCGCTGCAGCAGCCTCGTGGCTCCTCTGGTCCCAGCCACCACCCCAGTAACTTCCTGCCGCCCATCACATAGCTGTGCCACTCTGCATAGGAGGTGCGTGAGGTGGACAACTTTTCTGTGCGCACCAGCATGCAGCTTAGAGGAAACCCTGATTACAGTACGGTGTAATTCAAAGGTTCAGTATTTTAATTGGAACTTATACTTTGTCTAGTGTCTTTTCCACATAATCCTGCACTAAATGTGCTCTGTTCACTTTTTGAAAACCCTCTTTTAAACAAGTTGACATAGCATGTTCAAATACAATCTGTTCACACCTGAGTGAAAAGCGTTTTCTGCTGGTACCTCCTAACATTGCAGTCCTATTTGCTTGATATTTGTGATGTCACCTAGTTATCCACTGCGGAAAGCAGATGTACATTACAACACTGGAGACAATACAAGGATCACGATACAGTATGTAGCCAGACCCTGCAAGTACCAAAACCACTTAAGGTGACCCACTCATTGAGCACCACTAGAGACCTTGAAAGAGAAATCAAGCACTTGGAGAAATCTTGGCTCCAGTAACTTGGAGAAGTTTACTACGTATTTCTCAATTGTGAAGATGCTATCCACATCTTTTGGAAGAAAATATTCATTGTCTTGTTCACTAATCTACGTTGTACACTAACATAAGAAAAATTCTTCCTCTCCTTAGCATTCAGCAGTTTTCAGTATGCTTTGTACTTTGAGCTGGTTCTCAAAGTGTACTGAAAATGAGTCTTCTAGAAGATTGCATCATCTTATGTCTTGGTTAATTGCCATTCCTTTTCCAAAACCTTTTGCACTAAGAGTTGTGTTTTTGAAGTAATTGAAAGTCTCTCTTTGTTTAATGTTCACAAATTGTTAGTCATGAGAGATGACAAGATCAACTTATGTTTCCTTGGTAAACTTAATCTTTCTTTAAAGTAGTCTGGGAACAAAAGGCCTATTGAAGAACAAAGCCACCAAATATGAAGTCCCTATTTTCACTGTTCCTGTTACTAGTGATCTATGATCAAGACACATGGACCTTTCAAGAATATAGTATTCTGTTTGCTTATTTGTTTGTAAAGTTCATTAGTCTGTCTGAGAGGCTTTTTCTAGTAGGACTGTTGTCTAGGTAGCATGTTGTGTAGGAGGATGAGGAGAGCAGGTTGTCAGGAAAACAGGGGGAGGCCTTGCTAATTTGGAACCAATGACAGGAAATAGTCTTCAGTTACCAGATACACAAATACAGCTGCAACCGTTAGGCATGACTATCCCAATAGAAGTGTAATGCCACTAACTTTATCTAATCCAAGATAGGGATATTAACTAGTAAGCCTATCTAAATGCTTACTGGTAAGCATGAGGCTTGCCAGTTAACTCCAGCTGTGGCCAGTGCACCGGGTTGGAGCAACCCTGGCTGTGGCGGAGCCAGTGGGCCGGACGGCAGGACCCCATCAGGCTGGGTGGCAGATCGGGCGATGAGGCCTAAGTTAAAATGGTTAACCAATTAAGTGCTATCACTTAATTAGTTATCCATTTTAACATCCCTGATCCAAGGTGTCTGGTACATTGGACTATCCTACTGAAAAAGGGAGAGGCTAGAAAACCAATCTGAGGTGGAAATACATTTCTTCTTTCCATACATGTGGAAGGGGTGTTGGAACAGTTTGTAAACTGGTGGGGGTGGGAGCCCGTCAACCAGACTGTAAACTGTGTGTATTGTGAAAACTACTTCAAACTAGGGCTGCCACTTGCAATTAATTGTGCAATTAAAAAAATTTATCGTGATTAATCACGTGCAGCACCCCTTTGAAACACCGCAGCGGTGTTTCAGCAGGGCAGCACTGCATGGAGCCCAGGATCAGCTGGAGTTCCCAGCTGACCCCAGGCTCCATGCAGCACTGCCCCTTGGCAGCGCCGGAGCGGCATTTTGAAGGAGCAGCGCAAACAGAGCTGGGGATCAGCTGTGAATCGCAGGGGTTAACGCAGGTCAGTTGACAGCCCCGCTTCAAACCAGGAGGTATGGCAGTGCCCACAACTCCCTAATTTCAGCATCTATGCATGTAAATGGTAGTTTTATTTATTAGATTCTGGCAAACACTTTCCAATGAGGGTGGACACCTATATTAAATTGGCCTGATTTTTCTCAGGGGCTGAGCACCTGCTGTTCTCATAACATCAGTGGGAGTTGGAGGTCCTCAGTTCATCTGAAAATCCATCTAGTTTTGTTTAGGCACTAACTATGGGTCTAGGGACTTTACTTTAAACACCAACGGGTAAAAATCTTGACCACGTGCTTTATTTTTTTACCATATACAGAGCACCGCTTTTATCCTAATTTTCAAGCATTACAACTTCTGATTGGATTTTTAAAATCTCTTTAGCCCTCAGTTCTAGTTCATATTTTACTTGGTTCTTGACAGGCCAATCATTGCATATATATAATATGAACATTTTGTATAATAAAATGTGCATTCTCTCCAGAAAAGTGTCCATAGTCAAGTTGTGCATCAGGCTCGTACTTATTATTACTTCATTTATTTGATATAGTTAAGTCTCCAAAAGCTAAGAACTTCAGTTAAGATTGTAAGTTTACTGCTCACAGTGAAATGTTGCCAATATTATTAATTTTTTATTTGTATTTACTATAACTTGCCCTGACATTGCCACGTTTCTGTGACTGCACCAAATATATATATTAGAATCTTCAAATGCAATTTCCACTATATCACCCCCCATATGTTTAAATATTTTTGCCTTCTATTTTATGGTGAAATGCAGCAAAGATTGCTCCAAATGAATTTATCAGAACAGCTTTTTGGGCACTTCCCATGCTAGACTGGTAACGAAATCAAAGGAAGGATAAAAATGAATTGTAACTTGCTATGCTTTCTGGAATTTTGTAGTACATACTTTATATTGCAGTGGGGTCAAGGAACTCCAGCCAATGTTGGGGTCCCATTGCACATGCGCATAAAAGGAGAGCCCCTGTCCTGAAGAGCATACAGTCTCAATGAATAAGAAAGGCACAGGAAGGATAGCTTCCCCATTTTGTGTATGAGGAGGTGAAAAACTGAGAAATGTAGTGATTTGCTCAAGTCACATTAGAAGTTTGTCAGAGCCAAGAACTAAACCCACATCTCCTGAATCCCAGTCGAGTGCATTAACCCCAAGTCCATTCTTCCTCCGAGGTGTGTGATTTTTAATTGATACATTTTTTCCTAGTTGAAGGATGAAATAGTACCCTCAGTCACTGTACTCTCATGCAACCCCATTGACTTCAGTAGATATACAGTGACTTTTTTCATTGGAGTTCATTTGGGTTTGGACTATATTTTTCTGGTAAATTTAAAGGTGAATACAAACTCATACCCCATATCTAAACATCCTCAAAGTGGTGTTCCACAAGTTCAGAGGTGTTTGGTTGTGCTGCTTGATCTATTCTAAAGACGGAGCTAGTTTGAAATACAGATCTGGGCTTCTGGAATCCCAACACCTTAAAAAATAAAGATCTGCCTTTCAGGTCTGAACCTATTTCTGCTCATAACAAATTATTTGCTACACTCTTTTGATGACAGACTTCAAAATGAGTAGGATTTGTTAAAATATATCCATATACAGTAAACGTTATGGGCTGAACTCAGCAATGTTTTAAGCTGTTTCAGATACTTTGATATCAATGCAATTGTGTCATCGTATGAAAATGATCATTTTGGCCCAGTAATCTCAGCTGAGGAGGTCTGTTCCTTATACATATGTTACAATGAGACAATACATGCTGTATTTGAGTAATACAGGCCTACATTTGTATGTTACTGAAGCTGCTTGCAGCTTGTGTCTCTGTATTGGTAAACACTGATAACATTCATACTCATACATTTTAAAGTGTCAAGAGTTAAGACCCGATTCGGTTTTAAACTGAGCCACACAGCCCAGGAAAACTAAATAAAAACCTTTGTGTTTTGGTACTTAATAAAACAGTTGCTAGTGAGGTCAGCTTTGTTTTTATTGACAAATGTTAAACTGTGTCTTGAAGAGGACAATGGTCAAATATTTTTCATTATCTGAACTGCTTTGTTACGGTGAAATAAATCTGGATAATCTTGAATTTTCATTATTTTGAACTTCTGGCACGTGCTATTTGCCTAAGGAAAACATATTCAGCATGTCTAACCATAAGGAAAGATGTTGTTTTATTGGGAGCTATGGTTTTAACTCCATTTTATAGACTGAAACTGTAGTCATGGAAAATGATTTTGTATTTTTCAGCTTAAAGAAGTCTTCTGCAGAACTGAAGAAAATATTAGCTAATGGCCAGGTAGGTGCATTAAATTCAGAGTGACATACATGTATGACTTCTTATATACCTCAGTGATTGGCATACTACATGTAAGAGGAGAGATGCTTACTGTTCATTTGATTGTAATGTTGTCTTTTAATACTGAAGTGGAGAGGCCAATGATCCCTCTAATTTTTTCCAGCCATGTGCAGAATATATTTTGTTATGTGCACCAAGGCCTGTGTAGATGTGCACCACAAGTAGACATGCTGCTGGTTGTGAGTTCTCTGCTAAGCAGTGGGCAGCATTTGAATCTCTCATGGCTGGCCGCCTAAGCTCTCAGCTTACAGGGAATACTGGGAGAGATGATGAAAACCTTCATTACATGAATGAATTGTGTGTCTCGATTTACCTTGCTTCCCATTTCTCAAAATGTAAGAATCATAGCTAGCTCCGAACAGATTGAAGCACCTCTAACACACACATGTTGCGCTGCGGCCACAATTTGGAGGAAGGAAGTTAACCAGCTTGGAGTAACTAAATCAGCTGCTCAGTTGCTAGAATTACTTTTGTATTTTCAGGGCAGCAGGCACATAAGTCTTTAGCAGGCTTTTGTAAGTGGCAAGAGAGAGAATTCTTTGTTGTATTGTTTGGAGCTGTGTCCTATGCTACATGACAAGACCCAAGTTGTAGGCAGCTTCCTTATCACCTTCTTTTATCTGTTCTAGGCGTTCAGATCCTAGTATCCAGACCTGAATAGTTTATAATTCCAATTGATGGACGTACGGACCCTTGAGGGCAGTCATTTCTCACCAGTTTTGATTCAAATAGCTAGACCGATCCACAGTCGTATAATGACTTTAAATATACACCGCTAAATTCAGCTACCTAAAAGAATACCGGATTCTTCAGTAGCAACATAAATAAGTTTTAATGTTTGTCATAGTGAAACCCCTTTGAATAGCCTTGGAGGCAGGCACTTGTCCATTGCCATCAAGTTTGCCTATTAGGCTCTATTGACTGAGACATCTGTGTCACTGCAAATAAAAGACTCTTATTGATTTTCTTAACTGTTGTTCACTTCCCCTCCATGTTTCGAAGGCTGAAATCTTAATTATCTCAGATGCGTATTCAGTGCCTTCACACAGTGACCTCTCCAGGTCTCATTGGCATTTCATGAATCAAGTAGTTGTAGTTGAGCATGTCAAGAAGATAAAGGCTGGTCTTCATGCTTGTCCTTCAGTATCACCTGTAACACTGTGATCTAATAAATGAGAGTGCCTCCTTAAAAGGTGATTCTAACAGCATCAGCACTGCAGCCTTGCTTATTTGGCACTGAAGCCATTGAATAAAGCTTGGAATGTATTTTTAAGCTTGTCAGCATTCCTAATACAAAGCCATATTTTAACAAATTGACTTTTGCCAGGAAGGCTGTCGAAGATTTTAAAAATATTTATAAAATAACCAAACTTTATTGATGTGAGAACCAAAAACATGCTTTTGAGCTTTTTAGTGCAATTTGGCAAATACTAATCCCTAATACTGGAGAGAGCCATTTGGGGATAATTTTCAGAAAATGGAATAAATGAAGGTGAATAAGGTCACATTAGCATGAATGAATAAATAACCTGAATATGACATTTTTGACTTGTTGAAAGAATTAGAAATGAAGGTGTTTTGCACGGCTGGAAATTAGAAAGTTAAAGGTTTTTAAAATTCAGTTATGTAAGGAAAAAATAGCTAAAATCTATTAGTGATATTAAAGATTTCATTTATGCCCATCAAAGAAAGAAAATTCAGAATTAATATTCTAACGTGATCTTTAATTCACCATGCTGTGATAAGAAACTAGACTGTAAATCTCCAAAGAGGAAATTCTCCTCCGTTATATTGCATACCTTTTGTTAATCAGTAACTAGGCACAGCCATATAGACTGGGGGCAGATTTTTGTTTGAACTTTGAACTTTCCTTCCTTTTTTGGGGTTTGTCACAGTTAACATTATTTTAACATCATTTTTCTATGGTTTATGTTTTCAAGCATTAATGATGATAGTCCTTTCCACTGGCCTCCACTTAGGTTTAATAAGGAATTCATATTAATCATTAAAAGAAGGGGACATGATTCTTCAAGATAATCAAATATTGACAGGTTAGAAATAGCTTTCTGCCTAGGTTCATTGATATAGGTTATGTGATATAAATATTTATTTCTTTTCTGTCACTCAGAGTAAATGCCACCAATTGATTCAGCATTGATATAGTGTCAACAGTTCATAAGAAACATTTGACTGGCTTGTGTTTTCCGATTAGTCTCTGCTCTATAAAGTGGGATTTACTAAATCTCTTCAATTGTCTGCTCATAGAGTGTGACTGCTTTCTGGAACCATTACTACTTCGATTTGTAAACCAAAGGTACACCTATAGGACTTGGCTTCTGTCAAAGCTTTACATATAAAATAAGGATTAATTGAGCATTTTGCTTTTAATGATTTACAAGAGAATAGACACTGAGTCTTTCAAAGACAGCGGGTATAAACAAAGAGTGTTTTGTTTGCTGACCCGTAATTGAATTCTCTTTCACTTTTTCATTAATTCTGTTAATATCGGCATCCAATCAAGTTTGGCTTTGAAAGTTTAATTTCCCAGCCCTTGCTGTAGAGTCATTGTTTTTATGTTATCATTTTGTGATTGAGGATTCAGTTTTCCCTGTGAAACACATAACTCAGTAGGTATTTTTGGCATCTTTATTTGATTCAATAAATCAAGCTTTCTTTCTGTAAGGTTTTCTAGTATATATTTGCTCCGCCCCGATATCTGTTTCATCATGAGTTCCGTGCTAATCCTTTGTGCATAACTGTCTAGGAACAGTACCAGACTGGCAGTGAAAGGCATGCGAAAGGCTGTGACTGTTGCAGGCTTGTAGGCAGTAGTATGGCCAAGATGATTCACTATTTAGCAGTCAGCCAAATTCAGGAGAAAAGGGAAAACACTGGCATAAAATAACCATTTGCTGTTTCTTAACAATAAGCTTTTATAGTTAAAAGAATAAGCTTTTATAGTTAAAAGGAAAAAAACCTCCCCAAAGAGTTAATGTATAGTTAATGATGTCAGTTTAGTTATGGGTATGTAGATTTGCAGTGTTCCTCTCAGATCATTGTTTACAGTAGAGTTTGAAGATGCGTTTTGTTCCGTTATTGCAAAGTCAGTAAAGTGAAGAGTTCTGTAGTTTTGGGGCAAAACACACCTCTGTGTGTGCATGCGTTCTAAGTTGAGGAGGTTGCATACTGTGAGTAAAATTAAGCCCTGTACAGGGGCCTGGTGTTAGCCCCCTATCTCTTAAGATCTGCTCGCCTATCACCTTACTCCGTAGGAGGTGTCAAGCTATTATTTTAAAAAAGGAGAATTCCTTGCAATTTTTAGCTCTTGATTTGCATTTTCTGGTGAAATAAAATTATCAGAATTTTTCTGCCTTAGTTTTAATGTCTTTGGGTACTAATCTTTATAGACCTTGAAGAATAGTGGTCCAAACTTAACTGTAAATAGTCAATTCCGTGGACTTAAGTTCTTGTACTATGTACTTCCAGTTATGTAAGATCTCACAATGCTTCCCTTGATAACTGAGCTCTGCACTGTTTTTCCTTCAGTTGGTTGAAGAGCAGAACAAAATATTTAAAGTTTCACTGTTAGTAGCTCAAAAACAGATTATTTTAAATTTAGTTAAAAACTCAATTTTGTGCTGTTGAAACTTGCTGAAAGTTGCCATTTTAGGGGTTTCATTCAGGCCCATCCCTACCAGTGCTGATGCCATATGCAGCTTAAGGGGGGGAGGAGAGGGGGGAGAAAGGAGCCTGAAAGTCTGTGGGAAAGAGGTTACCAACTCTCCCAGACTGGACGCCATTTACTGTAGTGACTCTGTTCTGGGAGATTTGACAACCTAGAGCCGAGCTGGGAGGGAGTCACAGGCCGGGGGACCAGCAGGCTGCCGCGGAGACTACTGGGTAGAAGCAGCACTTTTTAAGGGGAGCTAGGCTCTGAGCCCTGGGGGTAGTGGCAAGTCTGTGGGAAAGAGGTTACCAACTCTCCCAGACTGGACGCCATTTACTGTAGTGACTCTGTTCTGGGAGATTTGACAACCTAGAGCCGAGCTGGGAGGGAGTCACAGGCCGGGGGACCAGCAGGCTGCCGCGGAGACTACTGGGTAGAAGCAGCACTTTTTAAGGGGAGCTAGGCTCTGAGCCCTGGGGGTAGTGGCCAGGGCAGGGGATTGGGCTGGGGGCTGCTGTAGCCCATAGGCAACGGCGCCCCAAAATGTCATGCCACAAAAGCAGAATCTTCTGCCTTCACTGGGGCTATTCCTCAGTCTCTCTCCTGTTTGATCAGGGCCTTCCTGCCTGGAGACCTTCTTCCCTTCTACAGAAGGCTCCTTGCTCCCTGCGGTTACTGCAGATACAGTGACAGTTTCGGGGGGGGGGGAAGGTGGTGTCTCCCCTTTCACTGCATATTCCAGCTCTGCACTTCCTGCATTTATGGTCACGTCCCCAGCATAGGCACTTTCCCCGGTGGGCTTTATCCCTGCTTTAAACCTGGCTCGTTTTGCACAGGAATCACTTGATTCCTCTCAGCTGGGGCCCGTTCTGTGATCAAGGTTGGCTTAGTCCCAGCTTTTCCAGCCCGCATAAAACAAGCCACCCTGTTCCATGATGCAGCACGAGTCCCAAGACTTGTGCTTCTGCGTCACACCAGTGTTTTTGAAAATCTCATCCATGGTCAATAAAATTGGCAGGGAGTTTTTAGCAGCTGGAACAATTTGCACAAAAGTGATAATTTGGCATCCAACAAAATATAAATAATCCAAGAAACGAGTCTTTTTTGAGACTTAGTGGTAGATGACTATCATTTAAAATGCGAAACCATCCAATTTTGATTCTGAAAATCTGGGTCCATTTAGCAAACCTGTGTTAGTTTAGGAGAAATTACTGTGGACCAAAATTTATCATAATTGAAAAAGCTGTGTTGAAATACACGTGCACTATTGTGTAAAAAAAAAAAAAAAAAAAGTCTCTTGTGGGTTTGAACAATAACTTGCCTTATTTCTCATGGTCAGTGTAATATTCACTTTTGTATAGGAGAACTGAGGTTTCTGATTTTAAATCTGAACAAGTAAGCCCACAAAAAATAAAAAAAGCTGAGCTTTTATAAAATACAAAAGAACCACATTGTGTCAGGAAAGAGCAGACCCTAAAACTGTGTAGCTCCCAAGGTGTTCGGACTCTGACTGCCCATCACCCTCTCTGGAAACTTCTCCCAGGAAGTGCTAAGCTTCTTACGTAGCAATTTATTGTATTGGTCAACAAAAATTACGTTTATTCAATATGATTACAACTGAATTTTTATTTCTTGCAGGATTGTGGCCTTAATTAAGCATTTGTATATACATTGTAGCATTTCTACATTGCAAATGTTTCATGTTAAATTTAAATGGACCCAAGTTAACTTTTCTGGCCATAGTGAAGATGATAGTGTTGGTTGGTTTGCTTCCTCCCCCTCACAACTTTGGCTATGTACAGTGCTGGAGACCCCTTTCCTATCCGTTTCTGTGACCTGACCCTCTTGAGCTATGTTATATCATTCCATTTTGACACCTTTTATCAAACTTTAATGAAATGACCCAGGCAAACAAATTGTCATTAAACTTTCCATCACTTTGTCCCTTGGTATCGTCTTTTATAAATTGGACAGCAAATGTTGTATTGATCTTCTCGTTCTTGCAGCTGAACTTGAAATGACCCAGACTGCTAGTTGTTTATGGCCTAGAGTTGCTTTTCCTTGACATTTCCATCCACAGCATGACATCTTTCTTGTTTTTCTTTCTTTCTCGTGGAGATGAATGAACAAGACATACAGTATCGAGACGTCCTCGGCCATGGCAATGGAGGCACCGTCTACAAGTGAGTGTTGCATTTTGTTTAAACTTCCCAAGGACAAAATGTAGCCAGACTTTCTCTCGCAGGTGTGCAGTCAGCTATTGGATGGCTTTGCTGAAGTACAATCAAGTAGACCTAATTTAGTCTTCTCTAGAAATTCTCTTTTCACATTTGCCTTCCACATCTTTCAAAGATTTGGTTTGGTGGTGTGAGGATGGGCATGTTTTTATCATCATCTTCATGTTTAGAGTTGAAACCCTCCTGGGTGACAAGTTAATGGCCTTCAAGTACAAATTTAACTGGCCTGGAGCGTAATATATTCTTTCTTCCCTCTTTTTAATACTGTTTTTGCTTGCTTACCATACTCGTTGCTAGTTCCTCGCCTGCAGTGACACCAGTTGTATGTAAAGCTGTGATGTCATTGCTCTGCCTTTCTGCAACATTATACAATTAGTTAACCCCCTTTGTTATAGCTACTTCCCTTTTAAGAAGCTCCAGTCTCAGACTGATGAGTGTGTTAAATTATAAATTCCCCCCAAATTTTGATAGTGATGCTTATACCCCGAAGCCAATTTTAATATTGTAAAGATTATAATAGCAAAGAAATAGTTTTCTCAATGGAAAAATCTTTCTCATGCGTAGTGCAAAGTTTAAACCACATAATGTAATATCTGGTACTTAATAGTCTGCAGTGGTGTATGAAAAATATTCTGCTAGGAATTAAAAATCCATACTTTGTAAGAAAGCCCCGAGGGAGTAATAAAGGTTTCCTCCAGAGAGCTATTTGCCATATACAGTAACATGGCATCTCATTTTGATCCTGTTTATAACTTACACTTTTTAACTTTGATAGTAACATTTTTTAAAAATATGATAAACACCACAACACATTTCTTTTATTTTTTAATTAGCTGCCAACTTTGCTAAGCTCCTGCTTTCTGTCTCCTAATATGAGTTTTAATAAAAAACAGGCTTTGGCATCATTATCAGGGAAGATCTAGATTTTTGTTTTATCAGTCTTAACCAAAATCAAGTCAGCCTGGTAACATGGCAGGTGCTACAAAGACCTTCTATCATGTTGTCTTTTGTCTTCTTTGTCTTTTGGATATTAGTTATTCCCTAGACCTGTAAAATTCACACATGTTTTGTAGCAGTGATGTGCTTTTCTCTCTCTCTTGGGGAGAGATTGTGGATTGTTGCACTTTACAGATTAGGGATGTAAGTGACTAGTCAACTCTCCGATACACACATGCTTATCAGATAATAGATTAGTGACTCAACTAGTTTCTCCCCCCCCCCCCCACCTCTCCCTGCTCCCCTTCTAATACACAGTACCATCTCCATGGGGGGAGGGGCAGGGGCAGGGGCTCAGTGGGGAATTGGCGGCGCTTCCTCCTTTGAAATGTAGCAAGAGCTACATTTCAACAGCTTGAAGCGCTGTGGGGAGCACGGGGTGAGCAGGGAACTCAAGCAGTCCCCCATTGGCCCTGTGTTCCCTGCTTTGGAATTGTACAAGAGCCCCGCACGTGGGGTTCAAAAGCAAACCAAGCGGTTTGCTTGAGTCCCTCGCTGTCCCCATGCTTCCTGCAACGCTTCCGCCTTTGAAATGTAGCAAGAGCTGGTAGGACTCTTGCTACATTTCAAAGGTGGAGGTGCCCTTATTGACTAATCAAATAGTTGATGCGAATTCCATCGACTATTCTATTAGTTGATTAATCTAAATTTAACATCCCTCTTACAGATCCATCAATGGCTGTAGTTGCTTTGGAGAGAGTTACTTCTCTTCTTTCTCAGACAGAGGATGAGCACACAGCTCATTCTGGAGTGAGGATTGGTCCAAGAGAATGGATGAAAAGTGTTGGAAGGTGTGGGGGCAGGGACAGGAATTGGAACGTCATGATCAAGACCAGATGTAGTGAAGGAGAACCTCACATTTTGTTGCTCGTGGAGGGCACAGAGGTCCATTTTAAAGAGGAAAAACTGTAGCGTGCAAGCCCCGCTTACCAAAACCACATGTTTTATTGTTTCCCAATATTCAATCACCTTCTTGGAAGAAGTGGATTTACAAAGGGGCAAGCAAGGAGACAGTGTCAGCAGGTGCTATTCTTAGCCGAATGCAAGATAAAAGATTTGCCATCGTCGTCATTCTCTAAGGTCTGATTGGACCCTCAGCACAATTGTCTTGTACAGGGCTGGGCAATCATTTTTTGATGTGAAGCCACTCCAAGAATTTGGTCAGGGGCTGCACACTTCCGTGGTATTAATGGAGGTGTTGCGGGGTCTGTGATGGAGTTGGGGTGCAGAAGGGAGCTTGGGAACAAGGATTTGGGTGGAGGAGAAGTTGTGGGGTCTGGGCGGGAGTTTGGGGGAAGGAGGAGGCTGTGACCTGGGGCAGGAGATTGGGATGCAGAAGGGGGTGTAGAGTCTGGGAGGGGTATAGGTGCGGAAGAAGATTCAGTCTGGAGGAGAATAGGTGCATGGTCTAGGAGGAGGTTGTAACCTGGGGCAGGAGTATACAGGATTGGGGTACGGGTCTGGGAGGGAGTAGAGGTGCAGGACGAAGGCAGAGGGTTGCGGGGAGGGAGGAGCTGGGGTGCCAGAGGCAGGCTCTGGCTGGAAGGTGCTTACCTGGCTGCAGCCCGCCAGCAGGTTCCTCGGCCTAGCTCGCTGCTTTCCATGCCCCTGCACCAGTCAAAGCAGCTCTGACTGCATGTGTTTTAAAATATAAAAAAATGCCCGATGGAATTCCATCCTGCTGCAGAGAAAGTAACCCACCCAGTGCGAGAGGCTTACCATTCCGGAGCTTGGGTTTTACTGGGCACGAAAATAATAACAGAGCGTCAACTTCGGCCCAGATTTTCTCCCCAAGCCTAACGGTTGCTACAGTGTCCTTTCCCCTAGAACAGAACTGGGCAAGGTGTGACCTGTGGGCCGAATTTTGCCCACCAAGCCATTTGATCCAGCCCGCGGTCCGTACTGCTGCTCCCCTGCCCCAAGCCAGTCAAGACCAGGGGGCAGGGGAGTGCGCAAAGTCATTCACTGCTCAGAGCAGCTGGCTGCTTCCCCCCACACACCACCCCCCGCCAGGGGCACACAGCACTTGAAGGGAACTGCCCCTTCCTCCCATGATCCCGCCCTTTCCAGCGGGGCTGGAGCTGGCCTGCGACCATCAGCCAAAATTTGTGACATGGCCCCCCTGCAAAAATTATTGCCTGCCCCTGCCCTAGGATCTACCGGTGTTTGCTCCTATTCCTCCCCTTTACTCTTTCATTCTGGGGCAGTTATCAGCTACTGTCATCAGAGTAAGTCAGCAGAATGAACCCTGCATCTTTATACAGAGTTTGATCTAGAACCAGCCTAAACTTTTCAAAATTAAAAATTTTGATAGAATTTCAAAGTCATGAAGATTGAGAACATGAATATTAATGTTGCTTGGGTGTATATTTTGGGATATTTGTCTACGGTCCTGTGATATGTTCAGTTTAAAGCCGATAACACTTTTCCACATTAGAGCATTTGTCTTTCTGTAGTAGGCTGTTTCTTAACAGAGGCATATGTGTTGTATGAGCCATTAAGAAATTGCAACGTAGAATATGTACAGGTGGCTGGATTACACTGCAGTAATGGATAGCAGCCCCCGTGTATTTTATTCCAGTAGATCAATGAGCACTTGTCAAATAAAATTAATTACAAATGTTTGACTTTTTCAGTCTACCAGTATTCCTTGCAATAGGTTTGTTTCAGAAGGCTGCATACATCGTATTGATTTGAATGTAAAGAATGAGTATGCATGGGTATCTTTTCCTTTTTTAATTTTTTTCTTTCTATCACTTCATACTAACTTGTATCCATTATGGCAATGATATATTATCAGCATTCAGCAAACAAGATAGCATGTTGCAGCTCGCTGAGCAGAAATTTTCAGCCTCTGTTTCCACGTGAATTAACTATTATTGAAATAGTTTATTGAGATTGAAGTATTGATCACTTTTCATGCTAACCTTGGCTTAAGGGAAGAGAGAGGAGGTGTTTTCGTTCTCTTTGGAAGACACTGCGTTTCATTAGAAAATATATATTTCATTTATTTTGGTTTTTTACAGCCTCCAATATTTTATTGCTCAGAGAAGGGGTATCTTGGCTTTATTTTTATGACAGTATAATTATACTTCAGAAATGCACTTGATTACTGTGTGTAGCAAAATTGTTCCAGTATATTGGCTTGGCCAATATTGCTATACAAACAACTTTTCAGTCAATTGAGTCTGGCAAAAATCAATACTTTATAGCAATATTTCTAGTGAGAACTTGCTGAATCTGAATGTTCTTTCTTTTCTTTAAAGAAACGGGATTTTATAATTGCTTGACTTCCTTTTACAATTATTTTCATGATTTCATTATGTATTATTTTCTTAATTCAGGGATGTAAGCCGCTATAGAGTAATACACAGTTAAGTTGTTTGTGTATTTTTTTCATGCATGTGTTATGTAGCTCTGGTACTTTATGGGAGTATGCTTCTCACTTTGAATAAAGCTTGTTGAAACAGTATTTGGAAGTTCAAAATAAATGATCATCCTTATACCATTCTAGGCTGTTTCCACCATTAAGCCACTTGGATTTGCTCTTTCTATTCACTAATCCTAGCTGCAGCTCTTTGAAATCTTGTGCATCCTTAGCTGCCATTGATTTCAGTGAGAGTTGAGGGTACAGGAATGCGTCTGATATAGTTATGGTGGTCGATGTATTAACCTTCCTGTTTTATAGCAGGCTTTCTAATATTTTATAGAAGTTGATACGGTGGCATGTCCAGGTTCTTGGCTGCTGCACAAGCAGAAGAAAATATTTGTATACTGCTTCATCTAGGGCATTCCCTTAAATTGCTTTTTTGACAAATAATCCACTGTAAAGTCCAATACACATTTAAAGCAGGGGAGGGGAACCTGCCCCCAGCTTGCCTGTATTCAGCCCAAGGCTCAGGGCTCCACCTCCCCTCAGCACTGGGGAGCCCGCGCTGGCGCTTCCGCTC